CAATTCTCCTAATTTAGTCACTTTTTTCGAGATAAGCCAATTCTCAAATTTTCAATGCATGCCTTTTATCTAATGTCTAGTTTAGATTTAGTATACTAAATTATTGAGATTTTTTTTACATTTATTAATTCACTTAGTCAATGTTTAGTTTTAAGGTTTTATTTCAATAATTAGGTTAGATAATTAATAGGTGAACGAATCGTCAAGTCTCTTAATTTTTAGAAACCGATGACGACTCCCTAGTAAGAAAAAAAATTAAAAAATGATAAAAAAAATAAAGAAAACAATAAATAAATAAATAATTGTAAAGAAAACCCTTTAATTTGTCCAAGCTCACTTGTTCGTTCATAGCTTAAGTTGGGATTAAAGAGGATATGCCGGTAGCTTTTTGGTCATAACTAAGCACAATAAGAAAGTATATTAGCATAGACCAAAACAATGGATGAGAGATCGATGGGCATTTTGACACAATGGATCCATTAGCAATTGCCTTGTTGAGAGGAACCAATATCCTCTCGCATTCGAGAAAATAAATATGGAAAAAATGGGTAGCTATGTTTAGAAAATAGCTTATTTGTAATCACATACACTTTTGGAAAGATATTAAAAAAAAAAAAGAAACTAAAAGAGGTAAGGGTTTTGAATAGTGATTTTTACTATGCATCCTCTAACAAGTCACTGTTCATATATTGTAGATAAGGGTGGTATTTTTGTAATTTTTCAACTGTTTTGAACATTAATATTCAAAGTTTATAGCATGTTTCATTTTGGTCTCTAAAATTTTTAAATGAAATTTTAATCCGCTAGACTGTTTCATTCCTTAGGTTGTTTCATCACCTAGCCTATTGCATTGGGCTTGTAGTAAGCTCATGGCATGCACGAAAGCCTACCTCCCCCTTTTTTTTTCTTTTTCTTTTTTTTTTCAAAAATTTATGTTTTTTTTTTATATAATTGAATTAGGTGTGAATTTTTTTTTTAAAAAAATCAATTGCTATTTTTTCCTCTCCGTTTTTGTTTTGTTTTTTTTTTAATTTTTTTCACCAATTTATGTTTTTTTTCATTGTTGAATTAGGAGTGAAAATTATGAAAAACCAATCATTATTTTTTCATATAAGTTGACAATTATGAAATATATATATATATATTTTTTAAAATAAATATAAATATCAGATTTTATTACTCTTATTGTTTAAAATTAATTTCTTTGATTTGTTGTTTCTTATAAAAATTCCCATCGGATTAATTTTTATTCTTCTTTTTTACGTAATTTTATGTGTTAATAAAATAAATTTTTTTTTGTAATTTTTTTGCTTTTTTTTATATAATCAAATTTTAAAAATATAATTCATTTGTTTTATTTACTTATTCTTTATATAATCAAATTTTATTTAAATCAATTTTGTTGTTTTTTTATTGCACCCAACTAACTTCAATATATTTTTTACAACTTAAATTTTTTTAAAAAAACAAGTTTGGTTTATGTTGCACACTCTAACCCAATGAGTATGGTCATACTTGTATGTATATATATATATATATATATATATATTGATTTTATTAGAAATTAACTATGCATCTATAATCATAACACCTACTATTATTTTTTATATTTAAAATTTTTTTTGAATAAAATAATTGAAATAATATTTTTAAAAAAATGTCTAATAATTCAAATATATTTTTTATATTAATACTATTCATTTTTTTGTAATTACATATATATAAACCAAATGTACATATTTTTTTTAAAAAATATTATTCTAATCAATATTAAACTAGAATAAAAAAATATTTTTTAATTTTTATACAAGTTTTTATGTTTCTTTATTTTTTTGATGCAATGTTATGAAAAAAATATTAAAATGTATATTTTTAAATTTTATATTTAGATTATTAAAATTTTATATTTAAGAATGAATGCATAAAAAAAATTGTGGTTTTTTAACTACAAAAAGTATTAAAAAAAATCAGATGTAAAATTTTGATTAAAAAATAGATGAAAATTTATTTTAATTTAATATATCGACAACATAATACATGTTATCAAACTGAAATAAATATGTTTAGTTTGATCCGCAACGTAGTGTGGGAAGCCAACTCGTACATACCAAAGAATCAGCATATATTATTCTTTTCATTTATTTCTCTCTCTATTTTTTTTTTAATTTTTATATTTTCTACCTAATTATATTCGATAAAAAATTAACTAAAACACTAAAAAAAAAGAGGAGTTTTCACCGTGCACACACTGTACGTTTCACTATACACTCACACATATTTGCATTGTTCATGTACATCCACTTACACTATTCATTGTCACCATTTGACCTTCATTTTGGTTCCTAATGTTTCAAAACAATCTTCTTCTTTTTTTGTTGATTATGGGCGGGGGCCTGGTCCTCCTAGCACGCACCTAATTTTTTTAATTTATTTATATTACATATTTTTGTCAAAAAATTTAAAAATATTTATGTGTCTTTATTAAATTTATTTTTAAAATTTTAATGTTTTAAATAGTCTATTAATTTTGTACAAGTTCATATATTTTTAATACATTTTCTTGATTTTTGAATTAAAATTTCAGGTTACATTATCACATTTTTTATTTAAGAATCAATGCACAAAGAACAACAAATATTATATTTTTAGGTATAAAATTTACATAAAACACAAGAAAGAATTATTTAAATACAATTTTTTGTTTAAAAAATTTAGTTTTTTTTTTACCTGGTATATTTTAATATATTCGTAGCATACCATAAACTTTCAAATTAGAATAATTTTATTATAATCTATTCACAGCATTACGTAAGTAAGTAACCGACTAGAAAATCAACATTCTTGATAAATATATTTTAGATTATATTAATTTTATTTCTTAAATTTGTCATTTCCTATAGAGATTGTCATCTAATTAGTTGTAAGTTTAAATTTTAATTATTGATAAATATGATTTATTGTTCATTATGTATGAATTTTTAAATATAAATTTAGAATTTGATTATTTTTTCAAAAAAATTATATAATTTATATAATGGATTCTTAAAATTTTGAAATGACAAGTAGCATGATTATATATATATATATATATATATACATATTCTAGAGAATTTCTATCAAATTTTTTTTATAAAAAATAATTTATAAAATAAATTTTTAGTTAAAAATCCATGAAGTTTTAGAATTTTTAATATTATTATAAGTTTTTAGTTAAGAATCAAATAAATAAGAATAAATCATGTTATTTTTAGTAGAAAATTTATGAAAAATATAATGAATAATTAGTCTAACATAATGTTTATTAAAAAAAAAAAGAGAAAACTGAATAGATTTGGTTTTTTTATTTTTCTATCTTTGGTTCAAATTGAAATGATTTTACATGCTATGTTCAAGCAGCAACGTAGTGTAAACTTTCAAATTAAAATAATTTTATACATTTTATCTGATTCATAATGTAACACGAAGTTAAAAACTAATGTGTGTGTCTATATATATCAGCCCTCGTTTCATGTTTCACCTTCTCCCTTCTCTCTCTCTCTCTCCCTCTCTCCACAAAGCTTGTCACCACTTAAACAAGTAAATTGTTAATTAGTCTCTTTATTTTTAAAAAATTAATTAATCAATTTTCTTATTTTAAAAACTAATTATTTTTTTTCTCATATTGATCATGTTTAATTTAATATTATTTTTTAAAAAAATATATCATTTTTTTTAGAATTTTTTTCATATTCATTGATTCATTTTTTTTCCTTTCATTCCTTAAAAAAAATATATATATATATATAAAGAATTAAGAAACAAGAAAATTTAAAAATATAGAGATTAAATAATTTTTTTAAAATAAAGATGATTAATTAATTTTTTTTTCAAAATTAGAGGGATTAAGTTATAATGTACTCCCACTTACACCGTAAAAGCACCAAAGATTCCTGGAGTCGAAAAACTCCTCCTCTCTCCTTCTATATATATATATATATATATATATATATATATATATATGCCGCACGTGTTTTATTTTTATGAATAATGATTTTTTAAAATATATATTATTGCAAAACAAGCTAATTCCAAGTTTTCTTTTATTTTTGTTAGTGAATCTTATGGTGCCATGTGTCTATCTATTTCTATCAGTATTTGTATGCAACTTTAACAAACTCTGATGGACAAAAGGGTGACCTTTCTAATAAAAAGCAGCAGTAATGGATCAAAATTAAGAAACTAAAAGATTAGCAGTACTTTTGTTCAGAAGGGACTGAGACCAATTAGCCTTCACACTTCTAGAAGGATGCATGGATTACGTGCATGAGTGGATAATTAATGACTCAAAACTTCAGTGTTTGTTTCTTGCAATTTTTTTTTCCGCTGATTTTAACGTCTCTGGAGCATGACCAAACACCTGGAGTGGTGGGGGCTACTGGTTTGTGTTATTATTAAACCACTATTGTCTTAATTCTTACTGATTAATTCGGTTGAAAAATTGGTAATATTGGACCTATTGCCATCGTATATACAAATATACGTGTGTGATTTTTATATTGCTGAGTGATTTGCACGTTTCATGAGAGAAATTTAGCATGTGTTTGTAATGTAATTTATTTGTTTTTACGAACTAAATTATATTAGAGTTGAAAATTAATGTTAAAAAATAATATAAAATTATTTTTAAAACCTCATGAAACAATTTAAATTTTTGAATTGAAAATCTTTTAACATGAGATTTGTTAAATAATTAAATACAAAATAGTGATATATTAATATAAGTTTTAAGTTCAAGATATTTTTACGATTCTTGAAACCTCGGTTAAGAAAATTGGTCTAAACAAACAAACAAAAGAGGTAAACCACGACTCTTGAAGTGCTAACCTTTCTCCTTTTCGACTAATAATATTGATTGTCTTCATCTGAGGGTTAAAAAAAGGAGCTATTGTTCTTTGACCTAAAAAGCATCCATGACACTAATAGGACGACTCTTTGGTCATTTTGACCAACAATGTAAGTTTTCAACGCTTTAGTATCGCATTTACTTTTTTGTTAAAAAAATTATTTAGATTGACATGAAGAATGTATGCGGTATTTATGATATATGTGTGATTTAAGTTAAGTCTAATTAAAACACAATGTAGTGTATCGGATTGGAAAGGATCCTCTACATTGGGCATTTTTGAGGTAAATAAGAAGAAAATTTATTAAAAAGTAATATAAAACTATGTTTTAGAATATCACTCAGCACGCTTAAACTTTTGATCCGCAATTATTCTTTGACCAAAAAAATATCAAATTTTTTTTTATGGTTTTGAAATAAATTAATATATCAAAAGATTCAAAATCATCTAAAAACACATCAAAAATTTTTTTATCAATTTGATATTTTTATGTTTAAAGGACAATCCGAATGCATTACCAAATACAAACAAAAACACATACATATAGCATAAATTGTGTCATCTATATCTCATAAATGGCATGGCTGTGAATCCATAACTTACTGTATTAATCACGGATTCCATGTGAGAATGTGTGTGAAAACAATGCAAATATATAATTCTTACAACAGAGGATTACAAGATATTACTATAAAACTAAAAGAAACGAGGCAAATGAACAGTAAATACTGTTCATTGTCTTGGTTCACTGTTCATAATGTGGCATGTTTGTAATTTTTTGTAACTTTTTTTTTTAATTTTTTTTAAAAGAGATGCTAAAAGGAATGGTCTACTCTTTCTCAAAGGTTGCTGAATTATGGAAAAAGATGACATGGAAACGGAAACTACTTTCCATGAGTTGGGAATAATTAATCAAACTGTCGCATTATATATATTTAGACAGTTATTTGAGTCACTATTTTATAGGTTTTTTATTTTATGATTTTCCCCTTTTGAATTACTATTATTATTATTATTATCATCATATGTATTTCAAAAATAAATTATTTATTGATTTATACTTGATAAAAAGGATCGGTTGATGTTATGATTCTGTACCAATTTTGGATAAACTACAATAACCAAGTAACATAAAATAATGACTTGAAACAGTACGAATCACTGATTAAAAAAAAATCTTTCCATTAAATAATGGATTTGTGAAATTAAAAAATAACCATTTACTAAAAAGAAAAGAAAAAGGCGAATAATAAAAGAAAGATTTTATAAAAACAATTAGATAAATCAAATTAAATCCCAATAGTAGATCTATTGCTGTTAAAAGAAGCTATCTATATTTATTTCAAAATATTATAATTATAGTGTTTTCAAGTTACAAACCATTCAAGTAACAATTTATCTTAATATTCAATAATTTAATTAATTAGTCGATATTAATAATACTCTAAAAGGCATTGGGGGGTTCGAACAATGTTCACCTCCTCACAATTCACTTGTTCGCTTCCTTTGTTTTTTTTTTTTTTTTTGTACTTTTCACTCTTAGTTTTTTTTTTTTTTTGTAATTTTTAGATTATTATTATTATTATTATTTGTAATATTTACTCTTAGTTTTTTCCCTCAATTTTTTTTATAATTTTCAAATTATTTCATTTTGATCCCTAAACTTTTAAAATAAAAATTTTAATCCTTACCTAATGGCTAATGCACTACATGCCTACATGCATTTTCTTTTCTTTTCTTTTTCTTTGGTTTTTTCTTTGCCTTTTTTTTTTTATCAATTTATGTTCTCTTTTTATTTAATCAGGTGTTAAAATTTTTAAAAATTATTCGTTATTTTTTTCCACTAAAGTTAATGATTATATAATATATATAGATCATATGTATATACTTTAAAAATCACCCCCTCACAATGTACTATTCACTCCTTTTTTCTTTACCCTCACAATGTACTATTCACTTTTATTTTTTATTTTTATTTTTAAATCTTATTTTTTTTATAAAAAAAAATTATGTCTTAGTTTTTTTTTTTTTGTGATTTTCAAATTATTTTGTCTTGATCCATAAAATTTTAAAATAAAAATTTTGATCCCTATTTGATGCATTGCATGCCTTTTCTTCTTCTTCTTTTCTTTGGTTTTTTCTTTGCTTTTTTTTTTTCATTAATTTGTGTTTTTTTAATTGGGTGTTAAAATTTTTAAAAATCAATCGTTACTTTTTTCATATAAACCGACGATTATATAATATATATATTATATGTATATACTTTTTTTAAAAAAATCTTCTCATCAATATTAAACAAGAATAAAATATTATTCTTTAATTGGTTAATTTTTATGCAAGTCTATACATTAATCATGAATCGTATTTTTTCGATATATTTTTTTAAAACAATATATTCTTAAAGTATTTTTCTTATGATAACACTATTCTCCCCCTCACAATGTATCATTCACTCCTTTTTTTTCCCTCACAATTCACTCTTGGGTTTTTTTTTTTTTTTTCACTCTTACTTTTTATATATATATATATATAATTTTCAAATCATTTCATTTTGATCCTTGAAATTTTAAAATAAAAAATTTAATCCCTAGCTGATGCACTACATGTCTTTTCTTTTTTTCTTTGGTTTTTTTCTTTGATTTTTTTCATCAATTTATGTTCTTTTTTTATTTAATTGGGTGTTAAAATTTTTAAAAAGCAATCGTTACTTTTTTTCACACAAACCGACGATTATATAATATGTATAGATCAAATGTATAAATTTTTTAAAAATAATCTTTTCATTAACATTAAATAAGAATAAAATTTTATTTTTTTCATTGGTTAATTTTTATGCAAGTTTATATATTAATTGTAACTTTATTTTTTGGATATATTCTTATAAAAAAATATATTTTTAAAGTATTTTTTTTAAAATTCTTAATTAATATTTCAAGTTTAAATTATACATTACAAGTTTTTATTTAGGAATCCATAAATAAAGAAAAATAAATTATATTTTTTAAAGCAGAAATTATATGAAAAACACAAAAAATAGTAATAATTAAATAAAAAAATTAATGAAAAAATTATAAAATTGTTGAAATGATTTTGTTCTATCTATCCGTAGCGTTGTATGGATAATTTTAAAAATTAATCTTCTCATCAGCATTAAATAAGAAATTTTTTTCTATTTGTTTGTTTTTATAAAAGTCTATCTATTAATTATAACTTTATTTTTTAGAATACAATATTATGAAAAATATATTTTTATTTTTTATTCTTGATTAATATTTTAGTTAAAATAAATCTAGAAAAAAGAATAATTTGTGTTTTTTAAGCAAAAAATTTATAAAAAAAAACATTAGAAAAATTAATTAAATAAAAAATTATAATTAAAAAAATTTAAAATTTAAAATTTTAAAATGATTTTTTTTTTATCAAACTCGCAGACATAGCACGGGCATCCAGACTTGTAAGCACTAATTTAATATACATACACGATATATTCTTACACTAGAGGATTAAAAGTCCATATCTCTTGGTTTATTCTTTTCTTCTCTTTATTTATTTTTTAAAAATTTATTTATCGAGATGCTGAATAAATTAATATGAATTAGACAATGAAAATTAGTTCATAAGTGAAGCAATTAAAATTATTAAAATTCAAACCTTACTTCACCCAAATAAATTATTGTATATACAGCTCCTAAACCAAAGCTCTGTAATGATTATTTATTTTTTTTCTTTTTCGTTTATTCGTATGTACTATATGAAGAATTGGAAGCTTCACTTAACAGCGGTTAGTTTTGCTACATCCGTTCTTGTATGATTGATTGCAATTTATTCTCTTCCGAAACACAAATTAATATCACAAATAAGATCATAAGAAATCATAGTTGATGCACTTGTTGTGCCAATACAAACGACTACTGTCTTAAGCAGATCACTAAAGTCCAAAGCTTTAGTTGATTAGAAACATACGAGTAAAATTGTTTATGCTAAAACATTATTTTGATCAGAATTGACCTGCACCAGAACATCCTCTATAAAATTTTAAAAAAACTGAGACCCATTTCATTAGTTGCCCAGTGGTCCAACATTAATCTATATAGGCCGGTTGTTCACTTCTTCATTCTTGGTATCATGCTTTTGAAAAAATTGAGAACAGAAATAGGAATGACAATTTTTCATTCGATTTTTTTTTTTTTAATAAAACTCAAACTCTACTATTAAATTTAATATTTTTGTAAATCATACTTTTTTTTCCCGCTTTTGAGAATTCGTCCTTTCCCTCCTATTTATTCCTAGGCTTTACGGCTCGTGACCCTTCTTTAATTTGTGCCCTGTCTCTAATCTCTCTTTTTTTGAAAAAAAAAAAAAAAAACGTAAAGAGTACGAATAGTTATTCCTTCAGTCTTATTATATTTTTCATTATTATCATTTACTGTTTTTCAAATTTATTAGAAACAAGAGCATAATTAAAAACTTTTTTTTAAAGAAAAAACATAATTAAAACAATTTAAATGAAGGGTAAAAATAGAATAGTGCAATAACACATTATAATCCTATTCGGATGGAAAACAATAACATTTAACTTTTTTTAATAAGTGTGATTTTAAAATTCTAAACCCATAAAATAATAAAAATGTGTCAAAAACTAATTTTTTTTATCACTGAATTAATAACTTAGAAGCATGATGTTAAGTGATTTTATTACTTATGGGAGTTCGATTACTCATCATTTAGTCCAAACTGAAAAATGACTTTGTAAGCAGGTAGAATGTTTGAACGTAATTGAATTTGCTTGAAGTTGCTTAAATTTCATCCAAAAAATGTGTCAATGGAGATAAATTTCAGAGATGAAATTTAACCAATTTTCAATGCTAATAAAGAACATCTAAATTCTCTGGATCTTTTTTTTCTTTTTCAAATAGGATTAATTCTATCCAGATTGAGAAATTTGAATCCTATATATGAATAAAAAATTTATCTAAAATTAATTCTTTTATCATTAGATCAACAACTTATAAGTATGATGGGAGAGTATTTAATTTGGATAATTATATGGTGGGAGCTCTTACACTCTACGATTTGAATATATATTTATACACAAGCTGTTTTAATTTGTGAACGCAAGCAACAAAGTCGGCAGGAGCAAAAACACGGGTTGCTTGATCAAATCGGTGGAAAGGGCACTATTTTATTCTTCTCTCTTTTTCAAATATCAGTAGGTAATTTAAGTGCTTTTGATATTGATTCTTCTTTATTTTTCAATTTATTTCTTGCTATAAAAATGTTGTCAAAGAGGCCCCCCCCCCCCACCAACTTTTTTTTTTTATAAAAAATTGCAGTTTGGTATGCGTCTTATATTCATGGTGGGGTGGGGACATGATGTTGAAAAGCTGTATATCCCAAAATTATACTTATCAAGCTACATTTGTTGAAATTTTAGATCGATATCTTGTACCATTAAAGAAAGTAACACTTATGTCTCTTTCCATGTTGTCACCATCATCTTAAGCCAAATGCTTCATAAGCCTCGGCTAAATGGCTACTTAAAGCTAGTTGCTTTTTATAACAAAAACATTTTATTCTTTATATTCAAAGAGATTGAATTATTTTATTTATTTTTTCACGCAGCCCTATGTAATATCAATATTTTTTATTTATATTTTATTAAATCGTTTTTTTTTAATTATTAGTTATTAAATTTAATTCTGTATTTCATAAAATTATTATTAATTTAAAAAGAAAATCCATCTAAAATTAAAATTAAAAATTAAAAAATAATCATTAAATTAATTTATAATTAAGTTTAAAATAATTATAAAATAAATAACATACTATCGAAAATATTGTGTTATCAAAATTTCAGCACACGGTAAAACTTAGTAAGAATAAATATGTTTCACGTGATAAATTTTTTTAGAACTAATTATAAACATGTCTAATGCTATACTAATCAAGTAAATAAACTATGCAGCCAATGTAATGAAAGTAAATGTTAGCTTTTCAAATTACACTAACTAATTTGCAACAACAATTTTGTCAGTATTAATCTATTAATAAACTTAGGCAAATTTGTCAAAATAACTGAAATTTTGTGATGGTTACTTTGATACATGGTCCCAACATGAAGAATATGTGTATGTTTTCGCATCTTGTGATGCCATTATGCCATTTTAAGCAAATGTAGGGTCAGTTTATATTACTAAAATTGCAAAATTTTCCACGACTAATCATAATTATGACACAGACCTAATCGTAAGGTGGTCACTTTATAAGTTTGTCCCACGAATTTCTACAAGCTAATTATCAATGTAAAGAATATCTTTTTTTTTTTTTTTTTTTTTTTTTTTAAGGTTCTTCCGTTGACGATAATGCAAGTAAATTATAAATTAATCCTTCTAAGTTTTTTTTTAAAAAAAATAAATAAAAATAAATAGCTCTTCTAATTTTATTAACTAATTAATTAGTTTTTGTATTTTTAAATTTATGGGTATTTTTAATTTAATCATTTTCTTTCTTTTTCAATTTTTTTTTTGTTTTAATAAGTATAAAATAAAAAATAAGAAAAAAATAAAAAGATTGATAAGAAAAAAAAACTTTTTTAGAACAAAATAATGCTAAATTAACAATTAATGATCATGCATCAATGAATTGATTAGTTAGTTTTTAAAATAAAATAGATTATTTGATTGGTTTTTTAAATTTAAAGAGATTAATTTATAATATATGCGTGTGTAGATTCTATATTGAAAGTTCGTTCAGACTGTTGGAAATGAATTAAATAGTTCTTTTTCACCCTATTACTTAAATTTTTGTTTAAGGTGTTAACCATTTTGTCACCTTTATTTTTATTTTTATTTTCTCAAGAAAAAGTAAGGAGAAAGGAACAATATATATGTTTTCTGTCAAAATTGTAAAAGTTTCTTCCTGAATGAGTAAAATCTAAAAATTCATATATATATATATATATACTCGTCTCATTCTCACTGTTAGTTAAGATTATTATTCTCTGCTTGTCTTTTTTTTTTTCTTTTTTGTTATAGCTAAGATAATTTAAACTCAATTTTTTTTTTATAAGAAATTTAATTAGAGTGCTTTGAATAATTAAGATAAGATGAATTCGAATTCTATATATCACAAAACATTTAGATTTTGAAATAAAACGCTATTGATTCAATATTCTTGATTTTACACATTAGTAATTTCCTTGTCTTTTTTTAATTAAGGAAGTAATTGAACTACCTAACGACTTAATTTGAAATACAACATCAAGCTATATACTGTAATATTGTAACGGAGTAAATTATAAATTAGTGTCTCTCGTTTAAAAAAAATGAATTAATGAATCTCTTTCTTTTTAACAATTAATTATTATTATTATTTTTTGGTTTTGAAATATACTTGTAATTTAGTTTTTTTTTTACTATTTTTTAATTTATTTTGATTTTTTATTTTAAAAAATTAAAAATATAAAAAAATATAAAAAGATTGATGAGAAAATAAAAAATTTTGTGGAATAAAAATAATATTAAATCAAACATGATCAACAATAATTAAAAGATTAAATATTAATTTTTAAAATAAAAGAGACTGATTAATTTGTTTCTTAAAACTAAAGGAACTAATTTATAATTTACTCTGTACGATGTGATAACATGTTTACTGATCATTGGATTAATTATGCTTTTATAGAAGAATCTTATGATGCAATCTGATAGGAGAATATATACGTAGTAATAGTTATTTAAAAATTCAAATAGATCTGCATTGGTATATATATATATATATATAAGAAATAATCAATTGTCAACTGAAACCTTTGATACGAATTTTTTTTCGGATAAATAGACAGACACCAGCTTGGAAGGAGCTTTATCTTCCCTAGTAAATATTTTTGTAAAAATGAAAGAGATAATGTTCTTTTTGGACAGACAAACACATGAAGCAGTAACAGTCCTAGATCCCTAGCTCAGGCTAGCTCTTGCTATAACCAATGATAACTCACGGTTGCCTCGTTTATTTATTTTTTATTCTTTTTTTTTAACATCACAGTTGCCTTTATAAAAGTATATGTTTTATGTTTTTAGTACTACACTGGACTTGGCTAAAAATCACTTTTGGTCCTTTTATTTTCGATATTTAGTCACGTCAAACTTTCAACATCATTTTGGCTAAATTTGAACCATGGAATTCCCATTAAGGTGGTTTTAAAGTTGATTTCTGTTGAGTTAACGGAGTACCGATCGCGTGATAAATGATGCCATGCATAAGAAAACAATTGATAATAATTTGAAAATCAATTAAAAAATATTATAATAAAGAAAATATAAATCAGAAAAGAAGAATTATATAAACCCAATCTGTAATAAGCTTAAATCCCACATCTCAGAACAAATTCCCAAATTAGCGACAAGACCGTGAACCCATCAACCATTCACCAGCAGCCGTCTTGCCTGGCCTGCGAGAACCATCTGTTTTTAGCATACAAGGGTAGGTTTAATTTCGAAACACTTGGACAATAATAATAATAATAATAATAAAATACTTCTCAAAATTTCAAGCCGGAGATGAAATTCAAATATTATTTTATATTAAGAAGCTTGATCAACTAAACAAAAATACAGAGTTGCGTAACAAAAAAATAATTGTACAATGCAGGAGAAGCCTCTCTTCTTTTAGCTAAACGGTTTTTGTATCGTCATCTTCATGCATCTCACCCACCAAACTGGGCATGTGCAACATTTCTAACATAACATGTTCCCGAAATAATTCAGACATTGACATTAGCATATGCTTAATTTCTTTATTTGTTGAAGAAAAACAGAGAGAGAGAGGCCGAGAAGAATAGTAGTATAGTTACAGGTAATACGTGCATACAATACCTAGAAAAGATCTGTTTGGGAAGCATAAAATCTTATATTTTGTCTTCAACTTTGATATAAAATCATCATTTGGAGTAATTTTGAATCTCTTATTCTTCATTAACAGTATAAACAATTATATTTATTTTATCAATAATATTCTCAGACAAATGCATCACAGTGTCTCTTAACAGCCGATCCCTAGGATTATTCTCATCAATTTTCTATGTTAAACCTCATGTGAACGCCAAGTTGCTCCACTAATTAATTAAAATAAACAACAATTTTTTTTTCTGGACCCCTAAGCTAGCCTACCAGCCTAGCTACCATATGCTGCCGTGCATCATTTTTATAGGCAGAAGAGACAATGACAATATAACAAGGCAAAGTGTATATATATATATATATATATATATATATATATATATATATATGAATTTATATGCTATGAAATATATAAATTCAACAATAACTTTTAATGGCACATATATTATACAATTAACTATCTTTTGTCATGTGGTTGGATTATTTTATTATTTTTTAGAGCGACTACTTATAAAAAATTAAAGAAATCTCATGCACGAAATTAAAATTATATAGTTGCATCAATTTATTCAACTTGTAATTCAAGAAACACACTTTTTTTTTTTATCAGATCGATAGTAAAAATATTTTCTGACTAACGGGTATCAACTAATTAGAATAAATCACTTCCCAAACATATTCAAGGCATAAAATATATAAAAGAGTACTAAAAAAAGATTAGAAATTTTTTCTATTTATGATGATCAAAGTTTACTCAAGAGATAGATAATTAAATATCAAGGTAGTAGTTCGCCGATAAGCAAGCATTGACTTGTAGGTCGAGTTAAGAATTCGATTCTTATAATAATATTCTTGAAAATTTATTCTCATAATACTTGAAATCGTGCGTTGAGAAATATTCTTTAATCATGTTTAAAAATGAATTAGTCTTACGATACGCAAAAACCGATCCGAAAATATACTTACTACCGAATGGCAGAAAAAAAAGATAGACAATTAAATATCATAGTGGACCCCTATCTCCAAACCATTTTCATAATGAAATCATAAATGCCCCATCACTTTCTTTCAATTTCAATTTTCAATCCAAAGTAGTGATTAGATAAATATTAATTTCACATTCTTAGATCACAAAAGAACAATCTTGATTGCTGAAGAAATAAGGCACTTTCCAATATAAATGTTTGAATTTCTCGGGCTTATATGGCATGTAATCAAATGAGTAACAATCAAGAAAACCTTCATAGATCATGTAGTCATGTAATACTCTTACAAATAGGAGAAAAGGACATGAAAAGGATAAAACAAGGTGCTTCGTTTCTACTCAAGGAAATTACAATAATAAATATAAATATTTTCACAGACAAGTATAATGTATTGTTTGTAGTTGGGTGGATAATTTAGGTTGTTATTAATTTAATAACCCTTGGAAAAGAAGAAAATTGAGTTTATGAATTTTTTATTTTTTGAATACATTAATTTTTTTTTAAATAACTAATGAAGTATATCCATCGTTTTTTAGTTGATTGATAACGTGTCCGTTGTTCTCAAAATATCAAATTATAGTTTACCTATTTTTTTTTTTATCGAGTACATGAATTTTAATTTTTTTCATTTGAGTATATTAATTTTTTCAATACTATCAATCAAGCACTTTCGTTAATTTTTTTATTAACAAATGACATGTTCATTACTCATAGAATACTAAATTATAATTTTTTTTCTCTTTTTTGTTGGAAAGAACTTTCATTTCAAATGCTCACAAGCAATGAGTCTTCTTGATTAAAAACCATACATTTATGTTTGCTTTTAATTTTCCTGTCTAAATCTAACCGAAATTAAGTTGGAGTTTTATAGCTAAAAAATAATATCTTTAAAAAATTTTGTCAAATTTTGAAATGGTAGAATAATTTGAGGAAAAACTTCCTCTAACGTAAAGAGGGTAAATTTATAACAGTATATTTCATCAATCAATAGAAAAATTAACGTAAATACTTGATTAATAATTTTAAAAAAGTTGATGTATTCAAGTAAAAAAATTAAAATTTATGTATTTAATTGAGAAAGGGAGGGCCAATTTATAATTTGGTATTCTGGAAGTAACATATACATCATTAATTACTGAAAAAATTGATTAATGTATTTGATTGATTGTTTTAAAAAAATTGATATACTAAAAAAAATTAAAATCTATATATTCGACTGAAAAAATAAAAAATTGATATACTTATAATATAATTATTATAATTACAATATTGATGGAATGTTTGTAGTTGAGATTTTAATGTGTGGTTGGTAATATCGTTGAAAGTGTTTTTTCATTGGTTTTGACATAAATTAATGTTACTTCCATTCAAACATATTTTAAAAAGCACTCTAGGTGTAATATCAAACGATAACTTAGGGTCTGTTTGGTGTATTTGTGTTATGTTGTGCTGTCGGGTCTTGTACCATAAGATAAAAACGGTATTTACTAATTGATTATTGTATTTTGTTTATAAATGTTCAAATTAGTTAACAACATTTGGCTAAATTTTATTACTGTACTTTTGAGATATAAAAGAATCAAGACTGTAACATATTAAAAATGTTTTAACAAATATATTTTATTTATATTAAATGATTTATAACTTCTTAAACTCATACGACACGCGTGTATATTTTTTTATGAGAGTAGTTCTTAAGTTTAAGAAAATTAAAGCAAATAAAAAAGTTAAATAGAATAATATATATATATATATATATATATATAGACACATCATTTCAATAAAATCAATTATATAGACAACAAATAAACTCTAACTTTTTTGGAATGTATAATTTTAAAAAATAATAATGTAGAAAATTTTCATTTTAATTAAAAAGAAATGGATTCCACAATTAACAGTTGTGTTTTTTTTAAAAAAAAATTAAAATATAGATATTTTACTTTGTTTTAAAATCAAAGATGTCATGCTTTGTTTTAAAAGCAAAACAATTTTTTTTTTTTTAAAGCAAAACAAATATTAGAAACAGCTAAATGTAGCCGTGATTTAAAATCATTACAATTTAAGACAGACACTTGACAAATTCTTTTCAACTTTTTCTTGAAACATTTCTTGTCACCATAGCACCTCCAAAAACGGACAGTACAATTGTGAGCGTGACGGTGCAATTGTCGTTATGTATGTTGGCAAATGGCACAGTAGCGGTGGAAGACTGGCAGATCAACAGGGACGGGAGGGTTCCTAGGGGCTGGGCCAGGCAGCGGATGACGCAGAAGTTTGGCTAGTAGTATATAGAAAGTGTGCTTTTCAAGGGGTTTCGCAAAAGTCAGTATCTTAGGTGGGGGCTAAATGGACCCTCACTCCCAAAGAGCCCGGACAAAATGGCCCAATGAAAGCAATGGTTGAGAGGATTGTCCTTGGCCACAAGAATTGCAATATGTTTTGCATAAATCAAGCGTGTACGACACCTACAATGGTTTTTTTCGGAAAAAAAAATACAAGAAAAAGCTTATTCATAAACCATGAAGAGTAAACGTTAATTCAGTTATTTGCACACTTAAATTTATATTGCAATTCGACTACCATTTGATCCGATTATAGTTTGGAGAAACATGAATCACAATTTACATACATTACCTTACAAATCTTTACAAAAATAAATCTCGACTCATCAATAATCCATCATAACTATATATCTTTCTCATTTAACTTTTCTCTACGTGTTTTTTTTTTTAATGGTAATTGCAAAAGCTAATCCGTAAACTAAATTTATTCTTAATTTTTCTCCGATCTAATTACAAATATATAAGATTGATGTTGAAAAAATAAAACATTTTCTTCTAACCATTAGTCTATGATCAAGTTAAAGAAAAAAAAATACTAATTATAATTATATGGCAACTTGATGTTCGTTTGACATTTATTACATTTTGCTTAAGAAAAACAACTCTTCCATCGCATATACAAGAGCTACGAAACCTATAAATTATCCTAAAGAGAATGGATGATAGGAAAAAGAGGCCGTATCTTCATGGCAATTTGCATAAGAACATGGTCATATCACAAAAATCAAGTAGATAACCCGTGAGGGTAACGTGGATGAAAAGACAAGCAACATCGCCAATGGAAATAAGAACATGCTCGTATCCATCCAAAGATTAAGATAAAAATTACAAAGAATGAGAAGGAGCGGTGGTAGGGTTTCAATTCAGAGAAGGCGCGTGGGATAGGTTAATTCAGGGAGAGGGGTCACATGGTTGGTGAGAGATAGAGCCCGCCATCACCTCCACGTATACATCAATTTAACTATTTTTTTTTTCTGCCATGAAAAGAAGAAGAAGACATAAAGCCGGTTGGCTTTTGGATCAACCAGTAGCTTTCTTTGCCTGTTAACAACAGTGCTTCTCTTTTCACCTTCCTCTATCCCACTCTGGATCATGAGTTGAACACTTTGAACAATTGATTTCTTGTAATAGATCATTAATTGGTGAATTTATGTAGGGTTACAGAGGCAATGCAATCTTTTTATCATGGACTATATATAAGGTAATCTATCATTAATTTTTTGAAAAGTTCATGTACCTCATAATATGCAAAAGATGGATGTAAAAATTGAAGATTGGAAAGCTGAATTGTAACGTAAAGTTTTTATTTTTAACAAGATGATATGCGTAGAAGTAAAAAACTTTTATAAAAACTGAGGTAAACAAAACTTGGAGAGACGACGACGAAGAAGAAGCTGAAATGGAGGGGGATTGGGACGTGGGGCCAAGCAAAGGACTATTTAGTCTTTCCAGTTGTCAGAAAGTAGGACCCAATATTTGTAGTCTATCGTCACCCATGTTTGACTCTCTTGGCCATCCCAGTCCTCCTCTAATGCCCACAGAATCCCACCATCACCTCCGATTTTAACTTTTTTTTCTTTTTCAGAGAAAAAAAAAACTCATTTCTTAGCATAGGCGGTTTTCTTTACTTACACAGATCCCGAGAAGCATCTCTCCAATCTTAGGGTACCCCTAGATTTCTGTGCCCACTGTTTGGGTTATGGGGTTCAACAACTTTGGATTGGCTCCTTTTGCTGTTTTTGGGATTTGAGAAATGCTGCTCCAAGTGGCTTGAGCCGATAAGCCAAATTCCCTGTTTTTGGTGGAGAGTTATCTGTTTCTATTTATACGGAGAATTGGTTCAAGCAATGTTTTTAAATTAGAATTTAATAACATTATAAAAAAATGATAAAAAATAAATTTATTATAAAATAAAATAAATATAAGAGATAACAATTTAAAATAATTCTTTCAATCTCTGCAAAATACTTATACTTAAACTAATAAATAAACAAAATCTATTTGTAGGCTTTAAAATTAAAAAGAGAATTGAAAAAAATTATGAACAATTAAAAATATATAAATTATCGAATCAATTGCATCATCTTTTTAATTTTTCAAATTGAAAGGTGAATTAAATCATATTAAAAATTATAAGTAGTGAGGATATGAAAAGCATATGATATTCATATAGACATTAATTATTTCATAACATTTTCTATTAAATATTCATTATATAAGGAACATGCATCGTTAAAAACTTATTAGAAAAAACCCAATAGGTAAAAAATCTTAATAAAGGAAAAAAAAATCTTAATAAAGGGAAAAAGTATAATATTCCTTTTACGCATTAATTCCCATATTGAGCTCTCTATTAAAAATATTATTTAAGATTTCTAAGACAACACATTTCAATCTTGTGAATCATTTTCTTAAAAGTTATGGTAAGTAATGTCTTAATAAACAAATCTGCTAGATTGTCACTTGTTCGAATTTGTTGAACATTAATATCATCATTTCGTTGAAGATCATGTGTGAAAAATAATTTTGGTGATATATATTTCGTTCGTCACCTTTAATGTATCATTCTTTTAATTGAGCTATGCAAACAATATTGTCTTCATACAATATTGTTGAAACTTCCTTACTAGTGGATAAACCGCATGTCTCTCGAATATGATGAGTCATTGATCTTAATCAAATACCTTATCGATTTGTCTCGTGAATTACTAGTATTTTTGCATGGTTTGAAGTTTGCTTTATAGAACACTATGATATAACCGTATCTCTATATGTAAATACATAACTAGTTTGTGATCGAGTTTTGTGTGAATCGGATAAATAACTTGTATCCGCATAACTAATTAATCTTGTTTTTTATTTATTGGATTAATATAAGCTTATATCAATTATTCCTTGGAGATAACATAGTATATGTTTAATTTTATTGCAACATCTTCGTGTTGGAATAAAATAACTTGCATCTACATAACTAATTAATCATGTCTTTGATTTATTGAACTAATATAAGCTCATATCAATTGTTCATCGTAGATAACATAGTAGATGTTTAATTTTATTCCAACATCTTCGTGTTAGAACATAATTATATCTTGCTAATAAATTTATAGAAAATGTTACATTAGATCGGGTATTGTTACTCGAAATAGATTAATGTACCAATTGCACTAAGATATGGTACTTTAGGATTAAGAAGTTCTTCATTATCTTCTCGAGGCCGAAAAGGATCATTTTGAACATCAAGTAAAACGAACTACCATTAAACTAGTTAATGGATGAGCCTTGTTTATATAGAATCACCGTAGTACTTTTTCTATATATGTCAACTAATAAATTAAATTTTGATCCTCTAAGTATTCGAACCGCAGGTCGAGATAAAATTTTATTTTTCAAGGTCTTTAATATCAAATTCTCTTTATAAATAACTTATGGCACTCGAAAATCGTGCGTAAGTTTAAATTATATTTAAATCATCAACATATACATCAATTATCACAAATCCCCTTTCGCATTTCTTTATAGAGACACATGGACAAATGAGATTATTTTTTTAACCTTATTTCAACAAATATTCACTAAAATGATTATACTACATGCGTCCATATTATTTGAATATATATAGAGATCTTTGTAATTTAATTGAATACATCTCTTAAGAATGTATTTTATATACTTTAGGCATTTTAAGTCCTTGTATAACTTTTATATAGTTATCATTATCAAGTCAACTATATAAATAGGCTATGATCACATCCATTGAAAGCATATCAAGCTTTTTATGTGTTTTCAAGTTAATAAGATAATGAAATATAATTGTATCTATTACAAATGAATATGTCTCCTCATAGTTAATGTCGAGTCTTTGTGAAAACCCTTATATTACAAGTCTTACTTTGCATCTCATAATTTCATCTTTTTTATTTTGTTTTTGTACAAATACTCGTTTGTTGCACTATCTAAAAGGCACAGATTCTCCTCTATAGTGTTCAAACCAATTGTGAACTTGATAGTATTCGTATATTCTTTATAAACATATAACAAATATATATATATATATATATATATATATATATATATATATATATATATATATATATATATCACAATACAATAAAAATAGTAAATTATTATTTGAATATTGTAAACAATATTATGTTAAACTTAGGATTTGTAACTAAATCTTATAGATCTTGACACGTCAAAATGCCATTCTTAGAGAGGAAATGTCCCTTCTGTACATTAATATTTGAACTACAGGGTTTTTGTTTTTTTTTCCCCCTAGATACATCAATCTGTCAGATTTTTTGTTTTGTACAGCTGAGTAATCTTGGGACTAGTAATCATCCATTGCTCACAAACATAAGATAGAAAATAGTATCTACAAAAATATAAGAGGAAGAGTTAATTCCTTATTTAATGTATAGATCAGTTTCAATAAAAACATTTCCTGAAGTGCGACGCTTCGTTTATAACATAAAGTTGCTCAAACAATTACTTTTTGAACAGAAAACCATATCGTATAATTAATAAACCAAAATAAAATTAAATAATATAAGCACAAAGCATTATATCTATACAACCTAATGTACAATAAGAAATACAATAAAATATTAAATAGATATACAAAACTAAATCTTAAACTAGTATTTAAAAACCAAATTCACACACGATAAACTTAAACATGATATAAGAAAAAAGGAGTGAAACTCTATAGAATTGAGTGATTTCAGATTTGCAAATATGATGCAAAATCTCAAGGGACGATAGACTTGCGAGGCCAGATACTTAGTTGCTCCAATAGTTTTAGATACCCGTTTGAATAAATTTTGTTATCTCTTTCTCTACCAAATCACCATAGTATATTCCATTTAATATCTCATCTTCAACTATAAAATTTATAATGGAATATATAGATATGACAACATCAAACTCACACTAACTTTTCAGATCTAGATCTAAAATGAGCCAAATAAAAACACTTAAAACTCGAAACTAATGGTAAAAGGAAGAAAAATGGCAACAGAAGGAAAGGAAATGGAGGGGTTGAAATTCTTAATGAAGCTTAGAAAGAGTCATCCGTATTACTAAAACTTTTAGATTGGATAAGAATTGAACACTTAAGATTCATGCAAACATCAATTTTGCCTAGGCATGAGCGCCTACTTGACAATGCACAATTCAGCACCACAACAAGAGTACACCAGCTGGTCGGCAATCCGATAGAGTAAACCATACCCATGAAAATTTTTAGTCATGCTAAAGTACTGTGACATCAAATTAAAGTTGATAGAGATATGTCAAACAAGAAAATGAACCTTCAAATAGAAGAAATTACATGATTTATGAGATCTGTAATTTTCCTATGTCTTGTCAAAAACACAAAGGTACTTCACTGCAGCCAAGCTATAGTCCAAGAGAATCAAGCATTTAAACAAATCGAAGTTCTTTCTCTTGGGAAAGATTGATATATATATAATGTTCTACCTAGAACTGAAAAAAAGAGACAAAGAAAAGGAAAACATTTCGAGTTCTTAGGTCAATGGAATCAATCCCAACTTCCAGTATTGTAGATTGAACATGAAGCCAAAACAATGAAATAGTGATCAGTTAATTCCAATATGTAAACATTGCAAGTTGGCTATTCAAACGTAACCCCATATAGCATATGCTATTTGAAATGTCACTTGGGCTGGCCTACTTAGCTAAGTAAGTACAAGGGTCGCGCTTTTTCATAATAGATTGATCGAAGCTGGATAGACATATGGACCAAAGTTGTCCATTCCTTTCAGGTCCCATTTAGAGACAGGACCCCTTTTTTTTTTTTTTTTTTTGGAAAAAAAGAAAAAAAGAAGCAGATGGCAATATGCTCTAGAATGAACTAAAAGATGAAAGCTCCCTCCCCATCCTATCCGGTAGGCAAGGCATTAAACTTGTAGAAAACAGTGACTCGTGGGGCTGTAGGGACCCCCTAGATAGCAGAAATTTCACAAATTGGTTTGATTGATGAGGTGATAGGACACGTTAGCTAACTTTTTTATGGTAAGCTAAGACAACACACAAGAACCAACATCAAGAGAAAGCTATATTCCTATAGAAAATGAGTCAGCCACAGTAGGTTTTATAGTGCAATGAGGCAGTGTTTGAGGAATGTATCGTGATGGCAATCTGATCTAGTTTATTGTACGAACGAATTTAGGTAAAAACATGTTTGATCGATAAAAAATTTGATTAATTGGCTTGGCTTGAAGGAGGCTTCGATAACAGTGCTCAGGTTCGGTCAATCTGGACATGAATTCAAATATAAATTATGGACCGATTGGATTCATATAGATCGAACTGTTTGTTTGATTAGTTGACGTTGTAGACTTTATCGTATTACTAATCACTGAAACAAATCTTTATAACAGGATTGGTTTGATTTACTTGTCTCGGTTCGTGAATAATTTATGTGATTTACTTGTGCGATGCTAATACAAATGAAGAGTAGTTAAATTCTTGATGACGGTACTGCAAATCAAATTTCATTCAATTACTATAAATCAAATCAAAATTCTTGAGTCATTAAGCTACTCGTGAAGTTATCTGCTGTCATTCCAAAGAACTGGAAATTAGATTTCTTTCACTCTAGTCTCCCACCCATTGTATATAGAAATATTAAGCCATAATCTATTAATTTATGCATAGTCCAATGTTATTTAAGGGAAAAAAAAGAAAAAAAAAGAAAGGGGGGGGGGGGGGGGGTGGGGGTTGGGGTGTGGTGGGGGGTGGTCGCGCTTGATGGCTCTCTCCTTCCCTAAATCCTCTCATCCTATCTCAACAAAATTCTATCCTGAATTGCTTAGTGCAATTTGTGAGACTGATCTACTTTGAAGCAATTGTTTTTGATACCTAACCTGCCTCCGGCCTTCCAGAGTCCAGACCCTACAAATGTATCCTGGGCTGTTGTAATCTTATGAATGAGACTTTAAATGGACCCTGGCTTAGGCTTTGAGCTTTGGGACCAACGCCATATCCAAGAGGTGATGAAGGAGCTCCTCAACCTCATTTTCGAGGAGAAACATGTAGAGATTTTTCTTATTAAATTATCAATGGATATGTAATAATGGATCAATTTCTGAACAAAGAAGAGGTTGAAATCCAAGAGGACATAAGAAAAAAAGAGAGGAGAAAAAAAATCTCCAAAATTTGTAGGTTGGCATTCAATTAGGTCAGAAAAGAGTTTATAAGGCCAGTAATAAGGATATAAGGCCATTGATATTAGCTCGTGTTTCAACCCAATAACAAATAGTATCACTTCGAAACTGAACCATACAAATAAATACTCTGCTCCGTCTTCAGAAGCCCTATCTATGTTAATGGAGTCTATCAATTAATGAGCGATTGTGGTTGTACTTTGTACACCAGATGATTCTATGTCTTCTGTCAATTTGTAGCTTATGTGCATCAATAGAGAAAATTGCACGTTCCATTTTACTCTTCTTTTTAATACCTCCTTTTAGGTTCCTCTCTGCTCTTCCAATTTGAGTTCAAGGATTCTTTGCTTCTACCTTAGAATAACAGCAATATCATTGAGTTACAGACACATTATTATTTTTTTTGAATTTGAATGATGATCATATTTCTGAGCTTGTTTTTGTGCATCAAAATTAAATTTATTTTCGATTAAATCTTACATATATGAATTCATGAAAAAATAAATTTTTTAATCATCTTTTTTTTGGTAGTTTAAATCCCGGATGATAATGTGGAAAATAAATCTAGTCATCGATCGGCCTAAATCTCATTTGTAAAACACGTTAGTGAGATAATTTTGAAGTATATTTGGATTTTTTGTCAAAATCTTGCATAGAGGTAATGATTTGGCCGAATGAAGGGTGCTCGTTTGTACCATTTCTTGGTTGGTTTTCGTTTTATTAAGAACTCAATTTTCTTCCCACAATGGGTTTGGTATCAATGTGCTATAAGCCCACTGGTGTAAATAACAAATTCTTGCTTGTCAATCGGGCCCAAAAACGTGGTTTCTGATTCTGGCATAGAGCACTCTTTGTAGGAGAGCTGTCTTTTTTTTTTTTTTTTTGTATTGAATCTAGGTGAAGAATTTTTTAGCCAAATAAAGTCCAGTTTCATAGAACTTCTAACATTTTCACACGGAACACCTTTGTTACAGATTTTTTTAGCTCCAAGCCGAATCAAGTCCAGTTTTTGTACTGCTGGACCGAATTAGTCGGGGCAAGTTGTCCTTAAATTCAAACTAAATCAAGGGTTTGGGCTGCCCCTCAATCTCTATATCCCAAAAAGAGAGAATTTTTTGGGTTAAAAAGAGCGAAATCATGAATTTGTACTAGTACCTGATGCTGCCAGTGCCAGGACTTAGAGAACTGTTTGTGAACCGGTTGAATTTGTCTTTCATGGCTTCTCGAAGCCATGCATCATGTATGAGCTTTTCATTCATAGAAGATAGAATCCAATTTTGTTACTTTTTATCGCTACACAATATCGGACGGGACTCCTCGAAGATTAAATCTAAGAGTTAATTAGTTATTATAAGTTTATTTACAAAATCGGGAGTCGTCACCTAATATTCAAAGAACCAAGAACCTAAAAATAGATACCGGTTCGGAGATTCTTAAAATAAGGAATTAATTACATCGTTGGGAAGATATTTAATATCTTAAAAGTGCCCTTTCCAACGAAAGGTACCATGTCTAGTTTAGTTTTAAATTCATCTCCTAAAAATCCATGTCAAACTATTTTATAATTTTAAACTCCTATTTTTTCAAAGTTAAAAAAAAAAAAAACAAAAATTTGGTTTGGGCGTGGCATTGTATTAAAACGATTGTCGATCCCTTCGTCGAGCGACACGTCGGTTCAAACATCGGATCCACTAAAAGCCTTGACACAACCGACGTGTCGGAGGACGTCTTAATTAAAAGGTGATTTTTGGTGACGTCGGTCCCTATCAAATAGGAGACTTCATCGAAAATCTTGAATATTCTTTTTGGTGACGTCGATCCTTATGAGATAGGAGACGTTGTCGAATTTATTTATTATTATTTTTTTGTGGCGTCGGTCCCTACCAAGTAGGAGGCCTCACCAAAATTTTTAGACATTTTCTTTTTGGTGACGTCGATCCCTATCGGATAAGAGACTTCGTCAAGATTTTTTATAATTTTTTTCTAACAATACATATTAAAGAAAAGAAAATAAAAAATTTTGAAGTAACAATTCTAAATTAATATAAAAAAACGACAAGGAATAAAAATAAACATGCTAAAAAAATAATAATAAAAGTAAAAAAAAGAAAAAAATCATCCTATACTTAAACTATTAACCCACAACTTATTTTTTAACCCATACCTTTTTTCCTTTTTCTTTCTTATTTTTTTATTTTTTCTTCCCTAATTCTATTATTTTATTTTATTTTTTATTTTTTAGGAGAAGGCCAGCCTTCTCGTTTTTTTTTCTTTTATTGGGAGCTTTTTTTTTTTTTTTTTTTATTTGGGGTGAGGAACACGGCCGGACCGAATTCCAATCCAGCTCCTCCTTTTTTTTTTATTTGGGGTAAGGGGCACGGGCCGGATCGAACTCCAATCCACCCCCTTTTTTTTTATTTGGGGTAAGGGGCACCCACGTGTATTTTCTTTTCTTTTCTTAATTCGCTAGGCTTAAGCCCGGAAACGAGCTCGGGTAAAGAAATTTAAGCAAAAATGGATCAAATGGCTTCCTAACCCTCTCTCTCTCTCTTGTTCTTAGTTCATTTTTCAATTTCTCTCTCTAGTTCTTCAAGCTTTTTAGAAATTAAAGACCCCATTTCAAGCAACAAACTCAATCACACACACCACAATTCAAGGCGGGAACTAAATAACAAGCAAACATATAAAATTAAAGAAAACAACAAAATAAAAAACTGGAAAGTCGAATCCGGAGCCGACCTAGAAAATGTCCGAAGAACACCAAGAACGAACCTAGAAAACCCGAAAAAACCTAGCACCAACGAACCCCGACGATGATTTCTCACGATTTCTTCGACTTTTAACCTTTGATTTCTATTTCAATTCACCCAAACAATGATAATCTCCCTCAAAACAAACTTAAATGCCTTTAATCGAACCAGAGAAGGACGAACACCAACCCAAAGAAGAAGAACAAAATTCCCATAAAAATAAGGACAAAAATGATACCGCCTAGAATCGTGAATAACAAAAAATGAAAATGAAAGAAAGGAATCCCGAATTTCAAACAAGGAGATTGAGGAAGTTGTGAAGGTGGAGATTTAGCCCCGGAAACACAAAACAAAGAAATAGAGGGGATTGATAGATTGTGAACCAAACCCGTGCCCCAAGAACACAAAGAACCCAAACCCGAAACCCGTAAACCCGTAAAAAACGTAGTGGCTAAAAAATAAAAAATTAAGCCTTTTGCTTTCGATTTTCATCCCTTTCAACCTAGAATCCTTCCTCAATTTTTTTCTCCTTTCTCCGTGAAATCAAACTCGTTTTATAGCCAAAAACTTCCTAGAATCGAATCTAAATCCCAAATTTTTTTGTCAAAATTTTTCCTCTTTAATTCATGATTAATGCAAAATCAAAACAGGAAATTTGTTCATTGCTTGATTCTCTCGTTATTAATTTCGTTCAAGAATCAAGATAAATGCAAAATCAAAACATGAAATTTATGGAGGATTTATGCGGATTCTCCCAAAGTTTTTCGGAGAGAATTTGCATTAGAGCGGACGACGAGTCGTCCTCTCCATTGCAGATCATATCGTTCGCTCCAAACTTTCGGCTTGGTCCTTGTGCTTTTCAATTCCAAGCAATCATGCCCTTCTATGGTACAATTTCAATCTTTATAAAGTGCAATCTTATCAATTGGGTCCTCGTAAGAAGCAATTTAGGTTCTAAATTTTTTAATTTGTTTGATTATACTCCTAATTACTTCAATTATTTCTTTCTTTAAATGCAATTGTGCTACCGAATGAATGTTTTTGTGTTTTTTTTATCATTTTCTTCTTCTTCTTCTTCTTTGGTAAAAATCACTTGAAATAAAACAAAACATACATGAAATAAAAAAAATATATAAATAATAATAAAATAAAATAAAAAATAAAAAATAAAAAAAGATAAATTTGGGTTATTACACTGTTGGCCATGAGATTTATAAAAGTCTCGCTCTTCATTATGATGAAATAACTAGCAATGCCATTAAATAGTCTGTGCTTTGCACATTTAAATAATCATAAAAGCAAAAAGAAAGAAAAAATATCTATGTTTTTCCAAAGTTTTATGATATGGTATTCTTAGAGAAAATTTTATACTCCTATATATGTATGTACAGGCTTAGATTGACCTATCTAATCCCATAAAAAGCAAGCTATTGACCATATCGAAAGAGAGAGTTACAGACACCCGAATCTATGACTATACAAGACGTCAAGCTGCGAAACCTACGAACTCTATTTGCCTAATGCAAATAGTATGGCACCATTTAACTTTAAATTTATCCTAGCGGTTTGGGTAATTGTATGCAGTCTCGGATTAAATGCTGCTGTCCAAGCATCAACGGGCATGCATGCATGATCTTTCTTTTCTTAATGGTCTCTCTTTCTCAACGTAGCGAAAACAGGTTCTTATAATCATGTCAGTCAAATTCATCAGAATGATCAATTAGTGGATTTTTTTTTTTAGATACTTTTTAAGGGCTAGGAAATCTATTTGTATGGATCTTATAGTTATATTAAGATTAGAGCTCGAAAAAAGAGAAATTAGGACATCAGCATTCTAATTTTATATTTATTTTTAGACTGCTTATATGAAAGAACAATATTCAATTAAAATCGATTAATCAAATCGAAATACCAATTTCATTAATTTTTTAATTAATTTTGATTAAAAATCTTGAAACCAAATAAATTTTGGTTATTTGGTATATATATATATATATATATATATATATATATATTGTTGTGAACTTCGATGGTTTGGTTTAGTTACAATATATTTGATGGATCGGTAGACTTGTGTTTAAATTTTATGCTTTATCATGTAATATGGTTTTATATTTTAATCTTATTGAAATAAATATTTATTATCTTTTTATACTGAATAATTTAGACTATTTGGATGAAAAAAGGAATTTTGTAGTACAGAACAAAATTTTTTAACTTATTTATATTATTTTACAAAAATGGGAAACGAATCGGTTTTTACCAAAAAATAGAAACCAAAAACCAAAACTTCGGTTTTATAATTTGAAAAAATAAATAAAATTCAGTTCAGATACCTTTTTTTGGGTTAATAAAAAGCAAACCAAAATTCCAAACACACCTCTAGCTGCAGATGTGTGAAAAAGGGGCAGTTTCAATCGCAAAATCGCAATGCATCCTCGTGTTGATTTCATTTCCCTTTTTGAGAGTCGTGTCAAATTTAAATTTGATCCTATTATTTCACAACTAATGCACTCTTCTCGTCAATAATACAATCACTAATTAATTGATTTATCAAGAATGCTTTTACAGGGTTTGATTCAGGTGTGGAAATACTCATTTAATCTGAGTGCTCTATGAAGTTTCATTGTTTTTTTTTTTTTTAATAATATATTTATGTATAAATTACTTATACCTGTAAACGTTTTAAATTTTATATTCGACATAAATACTATAAAAATTATTTTTATATATCTTAGGATGAAAATTATATACTCTCTTCACTGTAAAATAATTGTATATTTTTTATACGTATGTTTTAAAATGTTTGTTTGATTAAAATTATAAATGGTGTGTTTTTTTTTTGAAAAAAAACTCCCAATTAAAATATATTTTGATGAATAATAGTTTTATAAAAAGATATATAAAAAATATTGATATAAGGTAATAATTAATAAATTTTTTATTTATATAAAAAGTTAAAAAAATCTCCAATCTCTTTAGATAGAGAGAATAATATCTTGTATGAGGCGATTAATTGAGTATAAATAGCATATATTTATGTAGTTATTAATATCTATTGTGTTAAAAAATAATAAAAAATTATTTATAAAATTCCATCTACTAATTTAAATTTTTAAAAGAAATTTTAAGAATAATTTAATTTTTTCATATGGTATCAAAAATTTTATAAACAAACGATCTAGAATTCAAAATTCAACGAATTATTTTTTCTAACAGATTGCTATAAAAATATATATATAATCTAGACCACTGTATCTGGCACATAGTTATAACCAAAAGAAAATAATAATAATTTATAAAGACTGGATGGCAGACGCTTGTCTCAATACAAAAGATAATGTCGGTAAGTAGGAATTATTATAAATAATTTCTGATAAGCGTTAAGCGTAGATATCAAAAATCCTCGTGCGGGTGCGGGTGCGGGTCAGACTTGACTTTTTGTACCAAACGTGGCTTTCCACGTG